TCAATGGGAGGTGGATCAGACCTTCGGGGATTTAGTGCATAATTATCAAGGGGCCTGACAGGATTTTCAGGGGGAAAATCCTAACTTGAAAGCATAGGAAGGAAATGAATGCACCTAGCTATAGAATCAAAAGCATCCAGTTAAGCAAAGACCTTGCGATGGTGTAAATCCGTGTAGCTCCACTGACTTGAATGGAAGTGATGCTGATTTACACCAACACGGATCTGACCCCTGGGATATTCCATTCATTATGGCGCATCTGCCAGTGTTATTTGTTAACAAAATCTGAGATCCCAGCATCCCCCCATGCCTTGGCTCCAGGCAGCCGATGCTGAGGCCCTCCACACAACCCTGCCCTGCCAGCGGTGCACACCCCCTTCGATTCTTGCAGGAACAAATTACATTTTTTAAAGATAAAAATTGCTTTCCAACTTGTGGGGGAGGGATAGCTCAAGGGTTTGAGCATTGGCCTGCTAAACCTAGGGTTGTGAGTTCAATCCTTGAGGGGGCCATTTAGGGATCTGGGGCAAAAATTGGCGATTGGCCCTGAGCAGGGGGTTGAACTAGATGACTTCCTGAGATCCCTTCCAACCCTGATAGTCTATGATTCCTGGAGCCAAATAAGAAATGAAACCCGCGGTTTTAGTGACGAATCATAGAATACCAGGGTTGGAAGGGACCTCAGGAGGTTATCTAGTCCAACCCCCTGCTCAGAGCAGGACCAATCGCCAATTTTTGCCCCAGATTCCTAAATGGCCCCCTCAAGGATTGAACTCACGACCCTGGGTTTAGCAGGCCAATGCTCAAACCCTTGAGCTATCCCTCCCCCGCCCCGCATTCTCTACCTCTCCTTTTCTAGCCTTTAACTTGAACCAGAATGGAGCGGGCATCAGGCTGGACGAGAAATTACCAAGGATTTTGCTCCGTCTCATCTCTAGGGGTGGACACCCCAGACTGGGGGTGGGTGGGGAGGGAGACTTTCAAAATCTGAATCGAGATCCGGATCTGAGCTTTGCCTCCCCTAACAAGCAGCACCCAAACCCCGGGTTTTTGCTCCCGCTCTTCAGTTATGGGACGTTCCAAGTCTGACTCCGAATTCCGGTCGAGGGTGGAGAACAGTTCCCGGGCGGGGGTGGATCAGCTTGGGCATGGAAGGAGTTATCTGTGGGAGCGAAATGGTATTGTAGTGGACCGGGCAAAGAGCCTGGGAAATCCCCACCCGCTTTGGCTCAAAGGGCAGGGGCAGACGCCAGTGGGACCGGACTGAAGTCGGGCTCAGAGAACGGGAGTCTTCTAAACGCGTTGACTCCGCGGGACTGGAGCGCACCTGCGGTTGGAAGAAGGAGGAAGATAAAACGCGCCGCTTCCATGACAGCCCCCCGGGGTTAGCTCTTAGAGCAAGCGGCCAGGAGAGGTGGGAACAGGGGAGAGCGGCTGTAGGTGCCAAGACCAAGACCTGTAAACAGAGGAGCTGAGAACACGGTTTCGGGTCACAACGTGTACACGCCTTCGCGTTTCCGAGCGAGCGCCGGAGGAAACTCGGCAAGTGCAAAGGGCTCGAGTAGCGAGATTCCCTCGAACGCCGAGTCTGGAGCTCGCAGGCAAAGCCTGGGTGTATTTTGGTGGGCGCCCGCCCGCCCAGAGCCGCGGTCGTTACACCTGCTTCGCTCTGAACGACTCTTCCGCCGCCTTCTCAGCCGGCGGTGGCTGGGCCGGGGGATCCGGCAATCAGGTGCCCCTGGGAGTCCGAGAGGAGCGTGCCCCCTGCCCGAATCCGCGGCCCGGCAAGGCCTGAGCCCGGCGTCAGCACCCTGGACAGATCCCGGGGCCGCCCACTCAGAGCCCGGCAAACCCAGCCCGGCCAGCCGGCTCTAGGCTGGCCTCTGAACCGAGTTACTCCGGGATACTCGTGACTCGTTACTGCCGGGGATCGGGGGTCTCCACGGAGCAAGCCGCGGGTTTGCAGGACTCTCCCTTGGCCCTGGCGTGCTTTGCGAGCCAAAGCGGTGACCCGCACCGTGCCCTTTTCCCGAGCCGGCCGGTGCAGCGCCCTCAAAAACCTGCCGCTGGGAGAAGAACTCGCTCCTTTTGCAAGGGGAGAAGGAAAAGTTACCGCTGATGGGCAGCTCGCCCCAGTGCAGCCCCAGGGCTGCTGGCCAGCCAGGGGATGCGGGAGGAAAGCCAGGCGCAGAGGGCAAGATGCTCGCAGGGCGGGATTGCTAGCGGGGTGATCAATGGGGAGCCCACCAGTGGCTGCTCTGGCAGAATCGTAGCAGCCCGTCACTTGCGCACAGGGCCCGGGGAGGATCCTTTAGCGGCTTCAAACATGAGCGAGAGGGCGCAGGAAGGGTGGATGGCGGAGGGGGGTGGGAAGCAGCGTTAGTTATTCGGTGTAACCCCGGTGCTGCACGTCCACCCGCAGCCCAGCACGAGAAAGCGGCTTTATTTGCTCAGCCCCCACTCGTCTGGGCTGCAGAGCGCTTCTCCTTTCCGAGTTGGAGCGGTTCGGTGCGGAAAGGATGGAGCGGGGAATACAGTACAACGCGGACTGGGGGGGAGGGGGGGCTCCGAGGCCGGTTGCAGTGGCCGAGCTTGGTGCACTTGTAAGGCCTGAAACGCTTTAAAAACACTCCGAACTTCTGAAGACTCGTTTAAGTAAAACGCGAGCGGGCCGCGGCTCCCCCTTGGACGGCATCTGGGGCGGACGCGCCCGGGGTAGCTCGGTGGGTTCGGATCACTCCGGCCGTTGTCCCCGACTCCTGCGGTTGCCAGCTGCTCTTTCTAGCCCCCACGGTCTCCCCCAGCCTTAGGGCGTTTCGGAGAGAAGGTGGCAGCTGGAAAGGAGGAGCGGAGGGGACCCGGCTCTATGGACTCGTTCGCCCCCAGAAGGCAAGGGCAGAGTTAGCCATTCCTCTCCGAGCCGTGCGGCTGCGGGAACGGAACGGGGCGCTTTAAACCCACCGAGTAGCCGCGCACCTCTGCGGAGCAAGCGGGCAGCCCCGAGTCCGGCTGTCCAAGGGGGAAAGGCCGCAGGCGGCTGTTTCTTCTTCTCTTTCAGACAGGGATAGTCCATCCCGGAGCCTGTTTTTTGCTGCTGGTTCTCGGCGTGGCGAGCCCAGGGCCCTGCTACACCTGGACAGCGTTACAACCGCTCGGCCCCCAGGTGCTCCCCCTTACACAGATGGGTGTTAAATCACTGAGAGCAAAACGCGCATCCCCCGGCCCCGTCCCCGGCTGGGCTGCCGCGCAATGCCGCTGGCTTCTCCTCCGCGGGGGAGAGATCGATCTGCCCCCGGCCGGGCAGGAGGCCGGGGCAGCTGAATGGCAATGCACATGTTAATACCCCCTCCCCGGCTTTAGCCTGGCTAATCTTCAAAGCAACGTGGAAATAGAACAGGAGCGGCCCAAGGACCCAAGCGAAGCGAAGCCGGCGCCAGCCGCCGTGTCTAGGTCAGCTCCGCTCTCTCCCGGGAGTGGAGCTGGCCGCCCCCCGCCAGCGCTCCAGCGTCCCTGCCCCAGCCCGGGGCACGGAGCCAGGGATCCGGCGAGCTCTCTCTGTACGCGGCCGCTCTCCGCTGAGCAGCCCCGTCCCTCTTTCCCCAGGCGGAGAGTTTCCCCGGCCCCGCTGGCACGGTGCGGGGAAGAGAGCGCGGCCCTGGTGAGACTCGGGAGAAAGAGCAGGAGCCCCCTGCAGCCAAACCAATAGCGGGGTCTCTGTGGCTGGCGCGGATCTAACGTGGCACTGACCAGACCGGCCTGCCAGGGGGTTACCAGCCCCAGCAAGGCCGCTTTACAATCGCCCCGACCGGGGGAGATTTGCTGCCCTAAGAGCTGCGGGGGTTTCTCCGCAGAGTCTTTGCTTTTACCTGCGCTCTAGAGCTGCCAGGGAAATACACCTGCGCCTGGAGAGAGCAGGGCGGAGGGCGTCTGCCCCCAGCTTTCCCTTGGAGAGTTCCCCCCGACCAAAGCGGAGTGGCTTTTCTGCTGGTATGTCCCTGCTCCCGGGTCAGGACCCGGGAAGGAGCTGGGAGCAAAGACAAAGTTTCAGAGGGAAGCCACGCTGAGAAACGCAGCCCTGCTGGCTTTCCAGATCGCTCCCTCTTCCTCTGCGCGGCCAGCTCGCCGCCTAACCCCTTCTCCCAGTTTCCACAAGTGCACCAAGGCTTGAGAAACATGAATCCGTCACCCGCCTATCCCGCTCCGAAATGCCCTCGCCCTCCGCAGTGTGAACAGGAAGAGAAGCTAGGAAATTCGGGGGCGACCGGCAAACGCGAGAGCCGGCTGGCTTGTAACAAAGCTTCCCCGCATTTATTCGTTGGGGGGGGGGGAATCCCCTTTCCCTACAAGTTTTTCTCTCCTGGAGCTCCAGTTTGCACCAAGCACCCAACGCGGACATGGCATCGGCGTCATGTGGACAGAGCGAAGTGCTACGTGAAAGTATCACAACCGCGCCTCTTCTGCAACACTGCAGAGAGAAGCGTGCTCGCCCCCAGACATATTCCACCCCATGCTATACCCATCTCGAGTCTTAAAGTGCGGAGCAGGGTTACCGCTACCTGCCCCCAGGCGAGCACCCCTTTCCCTACGCTAGCGCCGTTGACCAGTTGTCGTTGCAGCTTTGTGTATTAGACACACACACACACACAGAGACACACACGCGCGCGCTTCTGAACAAACTGAAAAGTCGTTGCAAAGTTCGCTAGAGAAACGCCAGCCAAACCCCACGGATTCGCCTGCGCCCCAGCCGCCAGACCGGCTCCCTCCCACCGCGGGTTTGCTGCGAGCAGGGTCGCTTTTCCTGGGAAGGGGGAAAGCTTCGCTCCCGGGGAAAAGGTGCCCAGAGGCAGAGGGAGCCGAGCGCGCCCAGAGGTCATGCCGGGGCTTACCTTGGGGAGCCTCCCTGGCTCCGGCTCAAAGCACAAAAGCGGGGGGCATGGTCGCCAGCCCGCTGCTCTGGCTGCATGCTCGCCGAGCGGAGCTGCTCGGGTCGATGGACTTACCTTCCAGCAGAGCAGCCGCCTTTGGCTGTCCAAGGCGGGGTTCCCCCTTCCCCCGCAAGTGGGGCTGGCTGCGCCGCTCTCCCGCGCCGGGGGAGGAATAAGTAGCTTCCCCCAGCCCCCCCCCTGCAAGCACCGAGCGTCTCTTCGCGGGGAGATGAAAAGGCAGCAAAAATATGGAGGGAGGGAGCCCCAGCGATGAGCTCAAGGCGGGTGGCCGCGGAGGAATTTATTCCTTGATGTGCCTCCGGTATCCGATCATCGCTGACCCCGACTTCACTCGGGCGCCCGAGCAGGGCTTTGGCGGGGTGCGGAGCGAGCGGCTGCAGCCCTCCTTAGAGAGGCCAGGCTCTGTGTGCGCCGCGCCCTACGCCTCTTATAGAGCCGCCTGGCCGGGTGGGGGGGTCACTCTAGTCGGGGGCCAAATAATCACCACCCAGCTGAAACTCCTTTTCCAATTAGAGAGCGATGAAGAACCCCCCCCCCCCCCCGCTTGTTGACAGGCGCTCTGCAGCCCGCTTTCTCCGCCGTGCACCTCTTCCAAACCGAAGGGGGCTCCGGCCACGCAGACTCCAGCTCGCGTGTGCAAAGGGGGCGGTGGGTGAACACGGCTGCCCCTCCAATCACCCGGTTAGGGAAAGGCCCCTGCCCGGTCACTTCTGGAACTTTGCAGCTGGATGTGTGCCAGGCGGCCAGCTCCGTCCCCAGTCACAGGGCTGCCTGGAGCATGGGTTGCCTTGCCGCACACTCCATCCCCCTCGCAAGCCCCCGAGGGAGGACGGACCCCAGAGCTGGATCCGGAGCCTGCCGAGGGGGAGCGGTCTCCTCTCACTCACACGGGTGCTGAAACAGGGCTGTTCGCCTGGCCCTGAGGAGGCATCCCGCAGGGTCTCTTCCTCCACCCCCCCCCTGCAGCCACCTCTTTCCAAAGGGAAGGGTGGGGGGACTGGATAGCGAGGGGATGTTTCAGGTGGCCTACAAGACCCACAATGGTTCTGGAGTTGGGCCCCCGCCCCCACGTGTATCAGGGGGAGGAAAGGAGCCCAGTCTGAAAAGCAAAGCAAAAACTCTCTGCCACTCAACTCCCTGCACTGGGGGGGGGGGGGGGGGAGAAAGGCTTGGATTGGGATGAGCGGGATGGTACAGCGGTTTCCCCCTCAATGGACTATATGTCTGTTCTTCATAGCCAAGACACAGAGCTCTAGCAAGGTGGGACCTGGGGCTGTCTGCCTATCTTTAGCTCTCTTCCCTTTGTGGAGCATTAACTGCTCCTGATAAAGCACCGTGTAGACACAGGTTTGACATCATCCTTCCATCATCCACCATCCTTTGCAACTGCTCCCGATTTCTATGGCAGCACCCCCCCCGCCCCAAATACATCAAAAATCTGTTCTTCCAGGGTTCTCTGTTCACCTGCTTAAAACAAAATTTGGGAGGGGATAGCTCAGTGGTTTGAGCATTGGCCTTCTAAACCCAGGGTTGTGAGCTCAATCCTTGAGGGGGCCATTTAGGGATCTGAGGCAAAAATTGGGGATTGGTCCTGCTTTGAGCAAGGGGTTGGACTAGATGACCTCCTGAGGTCCCTTCCAACCCTGATATTCTATGATTCTATAAGAAACCTGGCTCCAAGGGCCTGCTCTTGTGATTTGCATGTGCCAATGCCTCCCATGGGAACCCTGGACACTGGGTTGCCGGTGGGTAAAAAGGGCAGCCAAGCTGGCCAGGGAAGGAGTTGGTAGACTGAGTGCCTAGTGGCAGAGTTGTGTACCTTAAGGCAACTAGACAATCAGGCTAAACAGCAGCAGCCCAAGTAATTCAGTTAGAAAACTTTCCACAGTTGATTAAAAAAAAAAAAAGCAACCACCACACACAAGTGAGCCTGTGAGATGTCAGAGCATTTAGCCAATGAAGAAAGGGGGTGGGGGGAGGCTCATTAAACACACCCAGCATGGGGAAGCTGAAAAGTCTAGCGAGCTGTGTCAGTCAGCTCAAAAGAAAAAGTCCAGTTCCACCTCTCTTTTTTTCTGGCATGCCTCTTACATCAAGATGTAATACATCATCCCAGGCTAATGAAAACATCATTATCTCCATTTGGATGCAGGAAGGACTAATTTAATAGTAAGCTCTCCAAAGGCATCTGCTCAAATACACTCAGCAGAGAAACCTGCCTGGAACACACAAGTTAGGGAGTGGAGGGTAGGTGGGAGGATTGACAGATCAACATGAATATTTAAACAGCCAATTGGTCCAGCTCATCCCCTATGATTGCAGCTGAGTGACACCCAGAGGTCGCCGACTTCAGCCCAGGGCTCACATACACCTGCCCAGTGAAAGTGATTCTTCAGGATGGTGTTTTCAAGCCTGGCCTCTGTGGTGCCCAGCTGTGTTATGTAGAGAGGGGAAGTGCAAGGGGCGCTGGGGGAAGATGTACAGGAACATGGCTGGCCCCTTTGAGGGGCTCCGACACTCCTCACTGGCCCATATTTTAAGAGGAGATCAGCTCTGCTCCCACGCCTACCCTTAACCCTAGTGAGGCTCTGCCTTCCTCCTCAGGAGCCTGTTCCCACTCCATTCAGTAGCACCATTTCTGACAGGTTTCAGAGTAGCAGCTGTGTTAGTCTGCAAAAAGAACAGGAGGACTTGTGGCACCTTAGAGACTAATAAATTTATTGGAGCATCAGCTTTCGTGGACTACAGCTCACTTCACAGGATCAAGCCCCAGGTGCATATCTGTGGATTCATTGCAATGCCCTGCCGCTCAAACTCTGTTCTCAGTTACACCAGTGTAAATCTAGAGTGTCCATGCCAAAGTTAATGAGCCAGATCTTGAACTGGTGCAAATCAACACAGCCTTGACAACTTCAACTGCATTGAAGTCGGTGGAGCTATGTTGATTCATGCCAGCTGAGGATCTGTCTCAGTGTGTAAATCCAGGGTAGCCAAGAGCAGAATTTGGCCCTGTGTATTCAAAAAGCATTCCAGGGCCCTAGTCTCTGTGCACCCTGCAAATCTTCACATCCCACGGAAGAGTCTGTCAGTCCTCCCTTCCCAGGCTGGCTGTGAACCAGTCTAGAGAAAGATGCTTGGGGGTTAATACAAAGTTAAATCATGAATGGCGTAGAAGGCAAACTGGAATCAGAAGGAAGACTCATGTGAACAGAGAAGGCAAAGGAGCGTTCTTGTCCCATCAGTGTTCAGTGAGTCCATTCCAATCCAGCCCAGGGCTTGATGATGGGACAGCAGATGTTTGAATCCCTCTGGAAGATACTGTTCTTCCAGTAACAGGTGCCCTCAAACTGGATTTCTCCATAGTGGGCACTTACTCTCTGTGCCCTCCTCCTCCAGTGGAAAGGGAGCGGTTACCGACATGCTAACGTTGATCCTCCAACTTGCATCCTTCTCTCACACGGGGAAATTGGAGTGGCTGCCGGACACACAGGACGGCCCCAAGAAAAGCAGAGAAAGCAATGCCCACCTCAGCACAGATGTGGGCTGGAGGGGACTCAGGAGCCACCATCCCAGAGAAGAGAGGGTTGAGAGGCTGTCCCTGCCCGAGATGGCATCACCCCATTTCCACATACCACTAAACCATGCCTGCCTGTGATGTCTTGTCCCCAGGGCATCGAACCATACTTGGGAAGTGCAAATTATCTGCTTTTAGGATGCACCAAAGTGGCAGGTTTAAAATAAACTCAATAGAAAATAACTCTTCCTCTCCCCTCCACCTGAGTTGCCTCCATGCCTTCAAGCCCCCCACCCCATTTCAAACAACACAGGCAGAAGTTTGTTCTAGGCTATCTATAGGCTCGGTGTGATTAGAGGAGCCAAGTGTAAACATTCCCAGCTCATACACTCACTAAGAAGTTTTCTTCTTCTATTGTGCTGTCCTTGATTTTCCTCTCCCTCTATAACACATCCTCCCCCCACCCCTCTCAGGACAAACTGGTTATCGAGGGCTAAGTGTGTGGTGGTGGGGAATTTATATTAGAGCATCTTATGAAGGCAGTGGCAGCATATCCCCAGGGTAGCTCAGTTTTAGGGGCAGCCCCAGCCAAGCTCCGTTGCAAAGGGATCTAACTGAGAAGCCGTCTGTCCTGAACAGGCTGCTCTCAATGCTTAGCTCTTTAAGATCCTTAGAAAAAAATGTAGCCCCAGCATGGATCATGGCTGCAGTAACCTAGGCAGCAATCCAGTGTAGCCTGGTGGCTCTGGACTCACTCGGATGCTTGTTATGTGTAATTCTAAGTGTCCTAGAGGGATTACTGCACTGGGAATAAAGAAACAGCTAAAGGTATTTATACCAAAGCCTAAACAGCCTATGTAGTCGCATACATACATACAGCAGCTGATAGTAGGTGGCCTGGCACAGAGATTGCAATGATTTGGGACAAATCCCAAGATTGTTTTCTCTCTCTGCTCCAGTCTTCAGAGGGTGCCTATGCTTATGCTCGCCTAGAGGTGGCAGTGAACCTTCACTGTTGCCCCCATATCCAACCATACACCACTATGGGAGGGCTGGAAAGTCTCCTAAAGGTTATTGGGTTTGTGCTTTCTGTTCAGCTGCTCGTACACTATGTTATTGAGGGCGTGCGTGCCTCCACACAGATGGCATAAAACAGACTCAGACTCTTAGCCTTTACGGCCAGAAGGGCCCATCATGATCATCTAGTCTGATCTCCTGCACATCGCAGGCCACAGAATCTCACCCACCCATTCCTGTAATAGACCGAGAACCACTGGCTGACCTCACAGCGAAGAATCCTGAGCACTGATCTCTTTTCTGCTTACCCTCAACCACCCCCTCCCTCCACACACACACACACACACACATGCCCTTGTAAATTAAGATAATTTTTCAGACTTCAATATGCATGCAAAAGTCACTGGTTATTAGTAACTGATCTGATCATCCTATGATTTTGTATTAGCTGGTCATCACAAGTTTAACTTGCCCTTTAAGAATTACTCATCCTATCAAACTAACACAACTTGGGGCATAAAGTAATATAAAGCCATCCAAAGGAGGAATTATTTTTGAATTTCCTCCTCTCCGTCTCCCCTACATTCTGTCAGCCTTAAAGGAAAAGTCTCCTTTGTGTCTGTCCTTTAGCTCGCAGACAAGTCCCAGATTTGTAACAGCACAGCACCTAGCCCCACACCACACACTGGATTGCAGCTTTTCACTTAACTTGGCCCTCTTCCAGAAAAGCATGCAAGCACATGTTTAAACTTTAAGCACATGCCCAGGCGCTTGCTGAATTGGGGCCTTTATTTCTAAACGTGCTAACTTACACATATATTTGTTATTCTTTTATAACACTTTTGAAGAACAGGACAAATGTGGATACAAATGCTGATCACAAAAAATGCTAATAAAACGGCAATTAAA